AGTTTGGAGTTTTTGTTTTTTTGTTTGTTTGCTTTTTTTTCTTAATGTTTTTGTAAGAAGTCTCTTCAGGCTCACCAATGCTACAATTATTTGGTTAAAAATAAAGTAAAATCTGATATATTGCGAAATATTATTGAAATTTAAAATAACTGTTTTCTATTTTAATATATTTTAACATGTAATTTATTCCTGTGATGGAAAAGATGAATTTTCAGTGGTTACTACCTTCAGAAATCCTTCTAATATCTCTTTGTATTATTATCGATGTGCTAGTTATTTTTTTTAAATAGGAATCTTTTGTATTATAAACGTCTTTTCTGTCACTTTTGATCAATTTAATCTTTGCTGAATAAAAGCATGTCTTTCAAAAAGAAAGAAAGAAAGTGGAAATAAAGTGTTGTTGTTTATTATTCAATAAATACTATTTTATATTTATAGTAGTATTTAGTATTGGGAAACTGTGTGTGTGTGTGTGTGCATGTGTGTGTGTGTGTGTGTGTGTGTGTGCGTGTGTGTGTGTTCGTGATGGTGATGGTGATTTTTGTCACATTGTTCTGTCATTAGATGGCGACAAGAGACTGTTTTACGAATCAGCAGTAAAGACTTACATTGAAAGAGACTGAAACGGAAGTTATTTTTACTTTTAATAACAGCTTGTAAGACACAGTTAACAAATGCACTGAGCAGCTCTATCATCAGAAATCACCCTTAACAGATGAAAGGACAGTACGATAAAGATATCGCTTTCCTCAGCGGACATTCAGACTAATGTAAAGTAAAAGTAATGTTTTAATGTGAATATGAGATTGAGCTGAAGAATGAATGCTGTATCAGATGCAAGTAATCACACTCGCTCAGTCAATCTCTCTCTCATAATACTCTACATATAATACAGAGAGCTTTTAGTCTAATACAGTGATACAATAAGCGTTCAATGAAGCAATTCAACATTCCTTCGTTACTAGTTCTAAAGTGACTTTTTTGAATTAGTAACGGAGGATTGGCCTCAGCTGTTAAACTGTCAAATTGAGATTTGAATCTGTGGGGCGGAAGCAAGTAGTTCTGCACAAAAGGGTTTTTATAGACACACCGTTGTTGTTTTTCTTATATATTTAGACACTCGTGCCATCGAACTGTTGTATAAACGCAATATCACACTCGTAGACGTGAGATATGGCTGTATATCGGCACGCTGTAATTACCTACGGCCGAATCACAGCCGTGCCGATATATAGCCATATCTAACGTCTACGAGCGTGATATTGCTCATCTATGGCCAGGCAGATAGAGGGGTAAAAAAAACTATAGTAATAAATAATATATACAAATAATATTAATAATACTAATATAAATTGTATAAAAATACTAATATTCATGAAAATAAACCATCATTAAAAAGATTATTTATAACACCATTAAGGTTCTAAATAGCACTTTCAAAGCATGGTTCTTTATGGAACCCTATAAAAATGGTTCCATTTAGCACCAAAAAGGGCTCTGCTATTGTTACAAGCTTAAGGACCCTTTTCTGGTACTGTTAGAACCATTTTTGTTAAGAGTGTACTGTGAGTGCTATCTACACACATTAGTGACACTGTTTTTCCTTTTTTTCTTTTCCTACACCAATTCTTTTTTACTCAGTGTGTGTACAGATTTAATGTTTTCCACTCGTCCCATAAATGGACTTTCTATTTTGAAATATTACAATTAGTTATTAAATTGCCATTTTATTCTAAAAACATAATAATATAGTAAAATATACAATTGGCAAATATATATATATATGTCCACTTTGAACACTGTTAGCAGACAAATTAAATAAATGTGCTTTCAGAGACTTCAGAAGGTGTTTTTTTCTTCGGGAGCCTCTCATTCGCCACAGCTTCCGATTACCGTGAAACGCTGATGAAATTTCAAAAAGCAGAGAACATTGTTTAGAACCCGGCTGCATTCTTTACACATCATCACTTCCATTTTTACGACATCAAATTCTGAAACTTTCTCCCCTCCTCTCTCGGTTCAGTGCTAAACATTTGCAGACAGTGTCTGGAGCATGTAATAAGATTTCTCCGAGATCGATGTCGTCTCTCGGCATGCATAACAACCAGCCGGATGGAGCTGGTGCTGAGAGCAGCCTCTCCCCTCATTACCCCCTGCCGTAGCCTCTCGTGATGAGAAAGTGTAGCCCATTCATTAACATGCTAATCAATTCTTATGAAGTGGCCTAATTGTTTTTTCATGGGGTGAGGGTTAGCCAGTAGACAGACTCAGTGCTGGCTGGCTTCAAAGAACACAAGAGCTTCTTTCTTGGTACGTTTGTGAAGGCTTGAGGTAATAAACAACAAGAAGAGCTGAAAGGTCAATGTCTTGGCACAATAGTCTTTGTGTGTAGAGACAAGAGACCAGCAGGACAAAAGGGCATTGCTTCCTATGAAGCCGTCTGTAAGAGAACACATCTTATAAATGCTTGAAAATGCCCTTTAAAAGGATCATTCACCCAAAAAAATGAAAATTTGGTCATCATTATTCAGCCTTAATGTTGTTCCAAACCTGTATGACTTTCTTTCTTCTGCAGAACACAAAAGAAGATATTTTGAAGAATGCTGGGGCACATTTGATATGACAAAAGTTTAATTGAGGAACAATTTCTTCTATCAAATGTTAATTAACCGACAACAGCTTTTATGCCTCAGTAAAGAGCGGACGGAGCATCTGAGTCATGCACAGACCACAAAACTGACAGCAGGACTCAGGTGGAGGACAGTGACTGAACTTAAAACTTCAGTTACTGAAACCACACAATGAAAACCCGCAAGAACCTAGATACGTGTGTGCAGATAATATACCATGACAGACAACTAGCTGTTCAGTTCCGATCACACAGCAGGGCTTCATTTCAGAGTCCTGAAATGTATGGGTGTGAGTTCAGTTACAGAATGCGGTTGTCACTTCAGTAAATATCCGAGATGTGTGTGAATGTAACTGTATTACTGGTTCAAATACAGAACTGACAGCCGTATTCTGCTGCTGTGTGAATGTGGCCCATTTTTGGGATGAACTATCATGTTAAATTTACATTGAAAAAAAAAAAGGGTGTAGGATTTACTTTGAATTTACGTCCTGTTTTTGCACATTCAACTATTAATATTACTATTTTATATTTTACTTGCAAATGTATACTTCCTGTTGTTGCACATTTAGCTTAATTTATCTTGTACTATTTAAATATTTAGTAGCTGACCAGGTTTACATTTCATTGCAAGTTATATTCTGTAAATAACTGTGTGTGTGACAAATAAAAATCTTAATATCTTGAAACTATTTTCCCTCAGAAATCGCTAGTAAATTAAAAAAAAAATAATTACAGTGATGTGGCAGGTAACACATTTAATTAAATACTGAAGCAAAATGACTGAAATAGTATTTGGGTTTTAAACTTTTAACTTTACAGTGTAGTCAATATTTTGTCATAATCATTCATTTTACGAAGTATAAACATTTAATTATGTATCAAGAATTAACATTTACTTCATTGCCTGCGGTTACGGAAGAGGTCTGACACAACAGGTTAGTTTTATACAAAACAGTTTATTTTGGTCACAGTGAGTACTAGTGTTGAGTCCGGAGGAAGTGAGGGTGAGGGAAAGGTCCGTGAGAGTGCAGAGGGGAGTAATCCGAGTCTTTTGCTTGATTGAGGCTGGCAGGGATCCGGGGGAAGCACACACCTCAGCGATCCGGGAACTAGGAGATACAGGAGACACTAGGAGGAACACAGGAGGTAAGTAATGCAAGTAGTATTCAAAGGTAATCAGTAGCAAAGTCATTGAGTCCTCTACGTGTAAACGAGACCGGACAGTGAGGGTGTCTGAGGTGTGTGCTTTTATGCAGGCTGGTAATGAGGTGCTTGATTGGTGACAGGTGCTCAAAGCTCAGGTGAGAGGGATCGTTGTGATGATTGGGAGGTGACGGAGTCTGGCCGATGTGTGGGGGGTGTGGGCGCCCTGGAGGCTGGTACAGGGTGGAGACCCGGGAGGCCTCCAGGGCGGAGCAGGTAGGTCAGGTTGCCATGGCGAAGCAGGGGACTCGGGCAGCCGTGGCGGAGCAGGGGACTCGGGCGGCCGTGGCGGAGCAGGGGACCCGTGAGGCCATGGTGGATCCTCCGTGGCCTTGGCTGGCTCGGCCACGGGCATATGCCCCCCCCCCCAAAATTTTCTTGGGGAAAATCTACGGGGCTGTACTCAGGGCCTGGAGCCCTCCCTGGGCTTAACGGGGAATCTGGAGCCCTCCCTGGGCTTAACCGGGGGACAGGAGTCCTCCCTGGGCTTAACCGGGGGACAGGAGTCCTCCTTGGGCTTAACCGGGGGACAGGAGCCCTCCCTGGGCTTAACCGGGGGACAGGAGCCCTCCCTGGGCTTAACCGGTGGACAGGAGCCCTCCCTGGGCTTGACTCGGAAATAGGAGCCCTCCATGGGCTTGACTCGGGAACAGGGTAGCGCATCCGCGGTGCTGGCACTGGAGGGCACTCTGGAGGAGCAGGCGCAGCAAAGCGCCTTCGAGGAGTTGGGACTGGAGCGAGCTCGGGGGCTGAGGCCGACACTGGAGCGAGCTCTGGGGCTGGCACTGGGGTAAGGATAGGAGCAGTGAACTCCAGGGGCAGCGCCATGTCCAGCAATGCTGAGAGGCCAGCGGCCGGCGGGCACACTGGAGCGAGCTCTGGGGCTGGCACTGGGGTAAGGATAGGAGCAGTGAACTCCAGGGGCAGCGCCATGTCCAGCAATGCTGAGAGGCCAGCGGCCGGCGGGCACACTGGAGCGAGCTCTGGGCTGGCACATTAATGTCCTCTCGGCGTGCCACACTAACGTCCTCTCGGCGTGCCACACTAACGTCCTCTCGGCGTGCCACACTAACGTCCTCTCGGCGTGCCACACTAACGTCCTCTCGGCGTGCCACACTAACGTCCTCTCGGCGTGCCACACTAACGTCCGGCTGACTTGGGGAAGCCGTGGACGGCGGCGGACTGGTTCTGGCTCTGGCCCGGGACCGGACACTCCCCAGACACCGGAATACGCCTTCTCTCCAACACAGGCCCGTTGTGTCTGGGAGGTCCAAGGGGCGATGGGAGTTGGCCCCAAGCCAGAACAGATGGTTGAGGGTGGCATCGTCCATCGCCGTCTCCGCTGCCAGCCTGCAAAACTCCCCGGCGTACTCGTAGAAGGGGAGATCCCGGCGAGCAAGGATGGAGAACCACGCAGCTGAGTGCATGCCGTGGGGGGAACTCATCTGTGCCGTCGGTGTAGGTCCGGTCTTCTGTTACGGAAGAGGTCGGACACAACAGGTTAGTTTTATACAAAACAGTTTATTTTGGTCACAGTGAGTACTGGTGTTGAGTCCGGAGGAAGTGAGGGTGAGGGAAAGGTCCGTGAGAGTGCAAAGGATATGGAGAGTGGAGTAATCGGAGTCTTTTGCTTGATTGAGGCTGGCAGGGATCCGGGGGAAGCACACACCTCAGCGATCCGGGAACTAGGAGATACAGGAGACACTTGGAGACGAGGAGACACTAGGAGGAACACAGGAGGTCAGTAATGCAAGAAGTATTCAAAGGTCATCAGTAGCAAAGTCATTGAATCCTCTACGTGCAAACGAGACCGGACAGTGAGGGTGTCTGAGGTGTGTGCTTTTATGCAGGCTGGTAATGAGGTGCTTGATTGGTGACAGGTGCAGGTGCTCAAAGCTCAGGTGAGAGGGATCGTTGTGATGATTGGGAGGTGACTGAGTCTGGGCGATCTGTGACACCTGCACAATGTAACTATTAATATCATGTTTATGTTGTGGATCTAGCTTATTAATATTATTTATAAACGGTTCAGTTCACTGGTGTTCAGCTCTTGTAGCTCAAGCAGAGAAATCGTACTTCTGTAAATATATATTTTATAAACAATCATGTCATGATGCATATTTTGTCTAAGTTTGTTGATTAAATCAGTTTTGGCACGGTCCTGGATCCTGCATAATTTGCATGTCTCCTTTGTCTGACACACCCATTTCACCCTTGGAGCCTCTACTAATGAGTTGATTTTGATTAAGGAGACATGCAAAAATGTGCAGTACTGGGGGGCTCCAGGAACGTGGTTGGGAAATACTGGACTAGATCATACCCGTTTCAGTCACAGTCATTTGATGTTGCAAGCATTTGGAGTAAAATACGCACCCATATTTTTCTGATTTCAGAATGATTTCAAAGCAGATACTTCAGAGCACAAGTCTCCTCTCAGTTTACTGCTGTAATATACATTTCAAAGACAAAGAATGGACTGAAGGGGGGGGGGAAAGGAAACAAGTGGATGAAGCAATAGTATGTAAAAATACCCATGTATTTTTCATTTTATGCACAGATTCACATTCTGGGAAAACCAACATTCTTTAAAGAGACAGAAGTTCAGGATTAGGATGTATATGCAGTTTTATAATACATAAGAACAATCCCTGGCAGACATAAGGCAGAAGAATATCCAGACCAGTATTTAAGGTGAGTACAAAGAGATCAAAGACGGATCAAACTATGTAAATGTGATTTCAAATTCCACTGAGAGTGCCCTCTGCTGACCAAATGAGGTTTTATCACAACCACCATCAACCTGTCATTTTATAAATGCTATGTTCACAAATAAAAACAAAGATTAACTTAATCTGTGAATGAATACACCTGGCTCTCCAAGGCCATTTTGTTGTGTGGGTAACTTTAACACTTTACCAAACTTTACATGGTATTGCAACTAGTGTGGCAATGACACAACATAAAGCCGAGAATGAGTTACTATGAGAGCTGCTCCATGGAAATGTAATTAACCCAAGTTTGTCACCATTTA